GGACAGGCACGCTCCCGGACCTCAGTCACCGCGCGCTTGAACCGCGCGGTGGGCGGGGGATACGGAGTACAACTGGAGAAAAAGCGGCAACGGCGCATTCTTTCAAACATTTTTCCGATTTTTCCGATTTTTATTTCTGTCGATCATCGAAATAACTCAAATTTCATAAATTCACAGGAAATCCACCCAGAGATCAACTGCTTCTTTATGATAGACACAAAATTTTTGTTTGAGTTTTCAAGAAATTTATTTTAAATCAAAGAAGGCTTCTTTTACTTCAAACAGTTTTTTAGCAGATGATACCTTACAAACCTTACTTAACTGAGACTTAACATAAGTAAACATAAGAATATTTAAGTAAGGTGTCATTGCTTTTACTCTCGGTAAGGACAGAGAAGCGAGAGCAGGGCCAGCTATCTTAAATATTGTGCTAGGGGGGATAGTGAGGCTGAGGCATGAGGCTCGATTCCCGTCGCCGCACGCCCGCGCCGAGGAGGCCGCGCCAACCCCCTCCCCCACCCGCTCCCTCCGCCAGAGCCCCCGCTTCAAAACTAAACACAGGGCAGGACGCTGGATTGTAAACAAGCCGTAAAACGAATGATATGGTGATAGACGATACAGCGCGGTCACAATCTTTTAAATGTAGTGTCTGTAATGTTTTTCTTAAATCATATAAATTATCTTATAAATATGGGAGAAAGGTAGAACAAAGCTTACTCTTAAATTGGTATCATCTGCTTTCACGATCCGTTTCTGGTCGGAACTTTTTTAGATCAAAGTTCTTTTCAATAAAACCGCATTGAAATCCCTTGAATTCACTTGAAATCCATCGATATCACTCGTCACTAGACTTAAAATCCGCAAAATTTAGTTTTTTGAAATCATTTGAATTCACTTTCAATCTTTTGAATGAAATTGAAATCTCTTGAAGTCATCTAAATTCATTTCATATCTGTCGAATTCACTTTCAATTCTTAGGAAATCAATCAATGGAAGGGGGGAAATCACTTGGGTTAGTAGCGTACGGGCTATTTCGTAGTATTCCCCTGCCATTTCGGTTTTTTCACGATTATTTCGTATTATTTAGGGGTAGTTCGTGACTATTTCACCAACTGTTTCGCGTCTATTTTGGGTCTATTACGCTCTATTTCGCCTTTATTTGGAACTATTTTGGGGGTAGGTGTGCGAAGTATTTCGCAAGTGATTTTCCCATCTATGGAAATAACTGAGATCAGTGAAAATCTTGCTGTAATCACTGAAAATCTTCATGAAATCGAAGGAAATTCAGTTGAAATCCATGATATAATTTGAAATCCGGAAATAAGGTGTACTCGATTTTTCGGAGTTGCGGGGCCTCGCATGCTAAAAGTACCACGACGTGTTAATGGTGGCTCAAAGGTTGGCAACAAGAACACACAATCCGCGGATGACGCGTCATGAGCAGCCACCGCGTTTCAATTAATTTCGTATGGGTTCTTCTCAGAGCGACACCCGTCGGAAAACTCAACAGGCGGCTAGGGGTGGGGTGGGGTGGGCAAGGGGGTGAAGGCGGTAAATGGGTCCCAGACCGCCCGATCGGGGGCGGGCGCGGGCTGGTGCGTCCGAAGCGAGTCGTCTCCTAAATGAATACAGCTATAATCACGCTCGGGATAATGTGAGTGAAAACAACTGGGCGAGACATACGGGTGCGTATGGGAAGGACGGTGGCAGGGGGAGGGGTGGGGCAACACGTACGGACATACCGTTGTGGAGCCCAACGCGGGCAGTTCGGGGAGAGTCTTATGGCGGGCGCTGGGGGAGGAGGGAGGGGCCTCGGCCCCCCTTGTTGAGCGTCATCGGGGGGCGCTCAGGTCACTGACCGCAAATAATACACCTGCCCATGACCCCCCCCCCCCCCCCAAGCCGGGCGGGCGGTCCCCCTTGTAAGGTATGCCACACCCCGGCCGGCGGCGCGCGGCCCAGCTCCCAGCCTCCGGATCCTACGCCTCCTGCCCCTGGAGAGAAAGTTACCGAATACCTCAATCCCGCGCCTCACTTTATATTCCGTCTCTCTCACTCCCCCCCCCTTCCCTCTTATTTCTCTCTCTCTCTCTCTCTCTGATGTCGTCGCCCCTCTCCCTCGCGCTCATTACCCCATGGTGCTGATGGACCGTCCTGGTCGCGCTCGCTTGTTTTATTTCGACTTAGGCCTGACGCGAGCGCGACAGCGGGAGGTCATTAGAGAGGCTGGGGGGGGGGGGGGGGTCCCACGGCTGCCACGGGAAAGGGGGTGAGATTTGGCCCCCAAATAATTGTCAGATATTTAGAAGGAAAAACCATTGTGAAACAAACTTGATGACGACGAGGTAGACGTCGCTCGAAAGACGGGGGAAAAGCACTAAAAACATAACGAGGCAAATTGGTCCAGATCCCGATTAAGGTGACATAATTCTGCCATGTGCCGACCCCCGCCGCTGCCACCTCCACCTCTACCACCGTCTTCCCTCCCAGCAGGAGTGATCAGGAAGGGCCGGGCTGCCGCCGCGCCGCCATTCGGGTCGTTCAAAATCGGCGGCTCTTAATCACCCTTTTCCTCCGGGCCGCCTATGGCTCCGCTCGGCTCCGCCCGGCTCCGCCACACACGAGCGACGCGTGCCCCGCGGTGGTGCAGGACCTGCAGGACGGCAGGCCGGCCAGACCGTTGCGTCGTTGCGTAAGCATAACCGGGGCCCCGACCGGGGCGGTGCAGAGGGAAGTCAAACTGTTGCGGCGGGGCGGGCGGGGCGGCCGGCCCACAAGTGGCCGCCATCACCGGTCAGCAGGCGCACATGTGCCCCAGACACCTGCCCCCCCCCCCTCTCCCACCTCAGACTGCGCCTCGGCATCACGTCACGGCGGTGAGGGAGGCGAAAGCATTCTCACTTTCTGGGTGTTTGCAGACTGTACCGTGCCGCGTGTCAAGCCCGACACCCGGCGGTGTCGCGGGCTGGCCTACAAGCTCTACAAGCTCCGCCCGCGAGGCGCTATGGGCCCCGGATTAGGCGAACCTGCGACACTGCTGTGTGTTGGGCTCCACACACGCATTTCTCCGCCGATCACACAGAAGAGGACCCCGTGGAACCCCCCTTTCTCCTTTCTCCCAATTCCCTTCATGACAGCGGTAAGAAAGGGGCATTATTGCGAGGAGCGATCGCTGGGTCACCGCGCCACGTAGCCACAGGGGGGGCCCAGCTCACCCACCACTCCCCTTCCCCTCCTGCCTCGTTCGCGCGATCGTTGACGTTTGACACTGAGGACAGGTGCCGCCGGCGCTCGCCCTTTAGCAAGCTTTAGCGCACTTGCTATCCGAGGCGAGGAAAGTTTGCCAAGAAAAATCTACGGAGAAATTTTGGTGCGAAAATATGCGTGACGATGACGAAACGTTATGACACCTCCTGAGTGACGGGTTCGGGACGGACGCAGACGCAGGGTAGGCGGGTAGGCCGAGTGGAGGCCGGTGGGGGCGAACGGTGCGACAGGGGGGCGGGCAGTGCGGCGGCCCGGAGGAGGAGGGTGCGCCCAGGGGCCCAGGGGTGTGCCAACGGCCCAACGGCCCGCCACGACGCCCCGGCCACGCCCCGGCGCGCCCCGCCCCGCCACGGCGATGCGGCAAACACAGAGAAAGTTTAACTGCGCGATCTGGTCCGCCACGCCACGCCACGTCTCCGACGGCAGAACGACCTTATGGCAGTGATTAGCGGATAGACCCCCCCTCCCCCTTCACACACACACACACACACTCACACTCACCTCCCACCACTCCCAACCTCCCCATAGCCACTCTTCCCTTCTCATTCATTCTCCACAGCTCCCCACTCTTGGGTTGTGTCCCAATTCTCGATCGGTTGCTGGTCGGTCGGTCCGGTCCGGTTCGGTCCCCGACCCTGACGAGCCGCGCCAGCCGCTCAGGGCAGCCACACATTCGCGACAAGGACATTGCAGGTCGCGGGGCTACCCTCGCGAGTCTCCCCCGCTATGGGGTGGCTCGCGAATCACCCCCGCGGATCACCCCCGAGGTAGGGGTGCATATCCTCGCGACTCGCGGCCGGTCATCTCGCGGGGCGCCCGCGGTCGCGGCCCTCGCGCCGTCGCGGGTGTTGGTAGCAGCCGAATGGCTGCTGGCGCGGCTCGTCAGGGTCGGGGACCGAACCGGACCGAACCGACCGACCAGCAACCGATCGAGAATTGGGACACAACCCAGGTGTCCCCACTCCAAGAGAACGCCTATCCATTCACTCAACCCCTCTCACCCCTCTCACAACACTAAAATCATTATTACACGAGCGCAAGCACAATCCACAAAATAAAGTTTTATTGCTCTTTCCCCTCTCTCCCTTTAAAAATAATTATAATAATAAAACAGGCCAAGAGGGTATAGAGGGTCCAAATGACATTAGGTGTTGGGGTGATGTCAGCGTCACAGTTTAATCATTTTGGGTCATTTGTTATCAAAATGACGTCGAATTAGAGGCCTAAATAATGGCGAGATCTTGACAACAACTGACATCACTTGCTATCATTTTCACGAAACCATTTCGAACTTGGGGGGTTAGGGCCGTTATCACGTGTCGAACTCATCGATCCTCGTTCATCCTTATCCCGCTGTAAGTTAAGTTATGCCAGTGAAATACGAAGGGAGTATAAAAACACTCACCTGCAACGCCGCGCCTTCGAACTGTACTTGTACACCACAGCACATGTGAAGAAGCCAGGTTAACTTTGCTCCGTCACTGTCGGTCTACAGGTATGGTAGAACGACTCCGTAGGCTACCGAGAATGAGTATACAAGGACACGATACAACCTAAATTTTGAGAACAGTTTTCTGCGGAATATTTTCGGCAAATATATTCTAAAACACTACTCACTGTTTCTGTTCAGTCTAATGTCCAATCCTACCTACCTACTACCTTGGTGAAAAACTTTGATTTTTGGCGCGACGCAGCCTGCAAATAATAAAATGTGACTGCGGTTACTGTTCTCACTGAGTGCGGATAACGTGCTGCTGTCTGCTGCTGCTGGTGTTTGGCTTGTGGTTATGTTCTCGTGTCTTCTAAATCTAAAACGATTTGAACGTGATTAGAAGATGTCATTGATTTTCGGCGAAAGTTTTAGAACCTTAAGAATATGCTCAAGGAAATTTGCCACCACTTGTACCCAGAGAGGTACGGATAAACTTGATTTTCAAGGAAGGGTGCTGAACAAACTGTTGTCAAACAAATTGGAAAGGTTAGTTTATTTATTTTTTTAAATGAATGCTATTTATTAGAAAATTCTATGTCGTCTGTATATTTCACACCCTGTAAAAGCTGCATTTTTTGTCATGTTAAAATTTTGTTTTCATTTTTTTGTAGGAAGATCAGAGATTCTGGCTCTAAGCCTGCTATCAAAATTCTCGACAACAAGAGGATAGGCGCATTAAACAAAATGTACATGGTTAACATCTCTGAGGTTCTAGCCCTTGGAGACTTTCCGGATATCATGGACAAAGGAATAGAAATTACTCGCGTATGTTGCAAATCCATTACCTAGTTGTAAGTTTCTAGATTGTGAAATTATTTGTTTAATAATCTTTTTTGTAATTCTAGGTTTCAGTTAGAGACACCAGCACAGTTGAGGTCTTCTGGCTTGCGGATGAAAATCAAGATCAAATTGAGGTGCAGAACCTTCTTACAAGTGTTGCTGGAAAAGTTGCAAATAAATTAATGTATGCCAATATGTTGGGCCATGTACCTACCATCAAATTCATAAGAGGTAACAAGAATACCATCACTAACTGGTTCAGGCAGTACTGAGACATTGCAGTTTTTTAACTCCTTTGCTTCTTTTCTTAGATCTCTCAGCTGTCAATTTTGAAGAGACCAAAAAATTGCTCGACAAAATTGCTCTTCAAAATAGTTTACGTGAGAAAAACCAAGAAAATTCTGAGGACTCTAATCCTATTGACGAAGATATTGAGGATATTGTGCGTGCTTCTTCACTTTACTTTACAAGCTGTTTATTTATTTAGGTATATTACTTGATAACATAACTCTATATTACATCTAATCCATGTTTCTAGGAACCACCTCCCCCTTTGATGACTACCAATGTTCTAGGCTTACCACATGACAGAATATACAGAAGAGTAAGTAAAAATGGCTTACCACAATGTATCTATTGCTCTGCTACAGCATAACCAATTAGAAATTTCAATGATATTCAGATCCTGGAGGCTAAAAAGAGATGCTATCCTCTGCAAATACCTAAACCACCAACAACTCAGGAGTTAGAAAACTCTCAACAGCAGTCTCAGTCTGAAAATAAGGCCGTTGAAGAAAAATTTAAACAGAAAAAAGCATTAAAAAAGTTCATAGTTCAGTATCAGAAATCAGCATTACGAAGTGGGTCACGAGTACAGCACCAACGTATTGAACTATTGAACAGAGAAGAAATAATTTATGAATATCCAGAGGATGATGACTCACCTGATTCTAGGTTCCAGCAAAACTGGAAAGATGAGGACAGACCATAATTAATTTTCAAATGTCAGACTTCTAGCCTATTTGTTAATTAGAAAGAATGAATAAATGAACTGAATTACTTATTCCCCTTATATGTCAATGCTTTTGCTTTTACCTTAGTGGGGTGTTGTTTTAATCACATGGTGGGATTTAAAAGATACGTAGCATGTCAATTTAACAATTTATTAACATTTGTTCAGTCAGGGTGGGATGACATATCACAATTACAATTAACACATATTTTGCTATACATATATATATATATATGAATATACACATGGTTGAGAACACAGGTCGACTGCATACAAAACCTTAGGCTGTTCAATTTCATTTATATTAATTTGATTATCGCAGGCATACCTTTAAAATAAAATATCAATTGATGACCTCCACCATTACAGACACTAATTAAGCATTTGTCGATCAAACGTTCAAAACTCTACATCACAGAACATCTGCTTGCTTCACTTGTAGAGGTTTCATCAGGTGCCTCTTCTTCTGATGAGTCATCCTATAATGCAATAAAAAGTAATGTTGGAACAAACCATGGATTTATGGTGATTTTCAAAATTTAAAAAAGAATTACAAGAAGAAACAAAAATTCATGATAGTGGAGAATTTACAGCATGGTGATGTGATAAGAAATTTTGCTAAGCGTGAATTTTGGGAAAATATGAATAATTAACTGCCAAACATTAAATTTGGTCGCTTAATTGTCATATAAGATTGAAAAACAATTTGATTGATGGGTAATGTGTATCAGTACCCCAAAACAGCAATATCAGTTAAGAACATGGAGGACCAATGAAAGGCATTTTGAAATACACCAAAAAATGTTTCTTACAGAAAATTCTGAATGAATGGCAGTTAACATCATGCAGTTCCAAGGAGAATTGAAGTAGGGAAGTCTCAAGCATCCAAAGCAAAATAGTGTACAAATAGGAGAACCGTATTGATGTTGTTACATAAGAATAAGAAATGCACGTAAGTAATTTGCATCATTTCCTGATAAAAGCATAAAAAATATTTTAAAAGGCATTTAAAACATGCAAAACATTACTGGAGGTACAAAAAAAGAAGTGTACAAAAGGAATGTAATCAGTCACAAGATTATGACAAAATTGATTAGAATACAACTCTTAAAACTTAAGTCTTCTCTCGAAACTGAAGTGGTTTACTTGTTTGGATATGAGTTCTGATTTTATGGTACATATATACAGAGATGGTTCAGCAATGATAATGACTTGTTCCACTGCATCAATATTCGACCACTTAAGAAAATTTCTCTTGATGGGAGCCAAAGAAGTAATTTAACAAAATACTGTATATTAACAAGTGTGAGAGGATTGTCTAAATTTCTTCATTGAAATATGAATATGCCTATTCAAATATACTTCAGCCGGTAAGCAACCATTCCTATCACCACAGTAGCCATGCTCCCAACCACCATACCCCACGGCAGGACCGAAGCAAACTGGAAACAGCACATATAGAAATAAAGCTGTTATAGAAGGAAAACAGAACTGAAAGTACAACAAATATTATCTTCAATTTTGCATGTTCAGAATAATATAATACTTTGACAAAATACCTTGGAGCGGTTGCAGTCAGCTTTTCTTTGTTTGGAAGTTTGGGATGAAGTAGACCCACCCATCATCTTCTGATAAAGATTCTTTTGTAGTTTAGTATTTTCTCTGGCTTTTGAGCGTTCTTTCCTAAGCTCAGAATGAATGGTTTTGTTTTCTGGATCTAGAATAGTTATCCTTTCCAAGACTTCAGATGCTGCCTGGTTCTCTCCCTTCTCAGATAGTACCTACAAAAATACAGGAGACTGGTAGAAGCAGATGTATAATTTAATAATAACTACCAGCTCAGTATTCAACTTGATACCAGAATTTCAGAGCCAACAGCTAGAATGAGAATACAAAAGCCCTTACCTTTGCTTTTCTAAACAAGGCCTTCACATTGTCTGGTTGGCAACGGAGTACATTCTCTACAGACATAAGAGCAGCATCTAAGGAACCAATTTTCAACTGTGCTGCAGCAAGATTGTTGTATACTTTAAGGCGATCTTCAAGAATATCAATGAGAGAGAGCTCTTTCTCTTCCTTGTTCTGGAATTTAATTACAGAATTAAGTAGAATTCATATTGAAAAAACCAGAAAAGATATCAGTTGGAGGTGTGTGTTTTCACTCACGACACTAGCAAATAAACCTTAATATCTACCAGTTAGCGGAGCAAGAATTAATTTTGGGGGAGGCTTAAACCCAATTATCAATCTCTGACAAAGAGCTCTGAACTCCCCCTTAAGTTAAAATTGTAAGGAGAGATTTTTGACTTACCGCATCATTAATAGCATTGTCTGGCTCTATCTGGATCCCACCAACAGCTTCATCTAAATAGTCCAGAGCACGGCGATAACATTGAATGGCAAGGGTGTTTTCACCTCTTCCATACCACCAATTTCCTCTTTCTCTTTTACGATTGCTGGAAGAATACAAATGGATTAAGTCGTACAATTGAGAGGGGATATCTTGCTTATAAACCAATTAACCAACCCAATTCTTTTCCGTTCAGCTATTGGAATCATCTCCAGATCTGGCTCAGGGCTCGTATTAAGCAGCTCCAGGGTATACAGAAGAGTAGAGTTTTCTGGTACAGCTGGAACTATGACGATAATGTTAATATAGAGATGTTAGACGTGTAGGTAATACTGGGAGAAGGAATCCTTACAAGATTTTTCAGCTGGTCTTCCCAGAGCTCCGAATCCAAACCGAGGTCCGATTTCAACAAGACAACATTCACCTTGGTCCATTAAGGAGAGCACAAGATCAACTCCTTGAATTACCTGAAAATATTTGTGAAATTAGTCAGTGGGATGTGGTTTCAAAGTGTCTTCATTTAAGTAAGGAAGTCGTACTTCTCCTTCTCCAGCATGAAGTATTAAATTTTCATATTTTTCTATAACTGTTCCATCTTCCAATTTTCCTTCTAGATTGATTTCACAAAAGTCAGATCGTTGTGGTCTTGTATCCTTCTCTCCCTCAACAAGTACCTTAGTGGCAAATGAATTTTAGAGCAAATATATAAGTTAATACAAACAAAATGCAGTTTAAACTAGTCATAGTAATCAGCTGTCTAAGTAACTCACTTTTTTCTTAATCTGTCCGCTACCAAGAATATCCAACCATTCTTCTTTGCTTTCAGTTTTTCCTTCTTCACCCTCTTTATCTACAGAGACTTCTTCCACTGGCTTGATCTCTGAATCCATTTTTCCTGGTGGATCTATTAAAAGAGCAGAAAAGGGTGAAAAGCCTGATTTTAAGTGGCCTTCTTTGAATAAATACAGAGTGAAAGACTCAGAATTTTAATTAATTGCTGAAAGAATGATTGTTTATAAAATTATACAGAGATAAGGTTTAGAAAGTTCTGAGAATTCTCACAACCAGCAAACTGGAGGTAAGGAAAATTGTTTCACACAAAATTCGTGTAAATTACATAACCTCTGTACATCCATGATGAAACATTACAGGCGGTATAACCCCCAGGAATGTACTAGAATTATTTTACTTAGAAGCATTAGAGAAATTTTACAAACCTGTCGTTTCGCTCCACTAAATTATTTCCGCCAAAACTGAAGGGTTTCTAATCCTACCTACGTTCTCTTACATGTAATGTAATCAAAAGTTCATGGTTCGGCCAGACGACAGACCCGCCGCACCGCTCGCCCGCTTTCACAGCTGGAAGAAAAAAGAAGGGAGGGGGGGGGGCGAGAGCAGGAGAGGGGTCAGGGAAAAGAAGGGGGAGGCAGAAAAGGGGGGGGGGGCAGGTGGACGAAACAGGGAAGTAGGAGAAGCGCGGTCGATTCGAACACGTACGCTGGGCTGCCCAGCCGACTACTCGCTCGCACATAAGGTCGGATTCGGAGTTGACTTGGTTTGGAATTGAAAATAAAAGACCTCGTAGGGTTAGCCGTGCAACAATGGTACTTAGAAAGTCAAGACCATGGCCATGGCTACTTCTACCTGACTAGAAGACGAAGAATACCTATGCCGAGTCTGCTCTATGGGCAGAGTTCTGGCGTCTGCCTGATCATGTCTGAATGGTCGTCGTTATGAGGCACGCCAAACCAGCTCGGAAATAGTGCATAGTGCCACGTCTGGTAAAAACGTCACGAGATTTAGAAGTTTTGCATTGAGAGTCCACCTATTCAATTCTAAGCCGGGGAAATGTATCACTCCAGGAGAGTGTGGTTGGATAGTTTAAGAGAATGAGAAAGGCAAGACGAAATCTAAGCAGTCAAATTTTTATTCAATTTAACATTAGAGTAGTATTATGTACAAATATTTAACCTCCTGCACTGGAGCAGGAAGAACTATAGGTTCATAAACAAAATAATCACATACACATTTATTTAACTGATAAAAGTAAGAACATAACATGATAAAATTGAAGATGACACATGTCTATTTAAGCTTATAAAATCTATTCAGCACATAAGCTATTCTTGGACTTTGGCAATAAGTTACAATTAGATGTGTAAATCAACAGCATAAACATTTCTAAAATTACATGCAGGGCTCATTCAGGGCAAGAAACATATCAAGAATGCAGGTTTAACAAAACAAACTCCACGATGTTGTTTATTTCTGAGCAATAACATAGTGGTTGCCTTCAATGTACTAAATACACATCCTTCAACGACACTCTTCGTACAGAATTGTAAAAGGAAACATTTTATAAATTTTTGTTAACAACAATGACTTACATTTTATCTCTCACAATGATTTGTGAGATCGAAACAAAGTAACTATATTTTAGAGGTATGGCAATGGCAATCATACAAAGTACCTCACTAAAACATGAAAAAGGAACATTGATTTTTTTTTTTAAAGAACAGAAGAATTGAGCACACATTCCCTACTCAGTACTAGCTATGACACACCCAATCTCAGGTTGGGACTTGTTTTTCATTAATAATAGTAGCTCTGGGAGAAAAAAGTAGAAGAATAAAAATTAGAAGAAGCAGAAATTAAGTAAGTCCAATATATGAAAATGCCAACTTACTTGGCTCCAAAGGTGATAGATTTGGTAGAGATCCCAGATGACTTAGTCTTGAGGGCTGCGCCAGCCCCCGCCAGTAGTGCGGGAGTGATGCCATGGCCTACGGGCAGGCCGTTGGGCACCATGTGCGTTCCGGGGGCTTTTTTCAGTATCCCATTGGGCACATTGCTTTTAGCTAGAGGGGAAAAGAATTACACATTTTAAAAGGAGTAATTTTTTATGTTATTCGAATGTATGTATGAGCGTATGTTAACACTCACGCAAATAGCCTGCACTGCCATTCACAGAGGTGACTGTGACGTTTCCACGACTCACATCATCCAGAGCTTTCGGCGCCTCCTGCGCAAGACCCAAAACCATCAGTCTCAATACAGTAACATGCGTTAATAAACGATGTGAGAGAGTTTTAAAGAGACCTTAAGTCGGAGGAAACAAATAAGTATCAACTAAAGGAAACAAGCAGGTCAGCAGGTCCACTTTACAGAAGAGATGTCTTCGGGAGGCTGTGGTTGGCCCCTCCCCCCTCCCGCACTACTTACACTCGACTCCTCGTCACCGGCCGCCTCGATCACGTCGGTCCGACAGCGCAGGTTGGACCTGGACAGCGTGGCGGCCAGCTCGCTCTGCAGCCCCTCCTGCGCCACGGCGCCGTTGCCGTTGACGCCGTTGCCGTTGGGGGCGGCGCCGTTGAGGAAGGTCAGCTTGGAGGGCTGCCTGTTGTTGCCGCCGCCGTACTCTCGGATGGTCACGCTCACTGACGGCCTGGCCGCAGGGGCGCCCCTGGGGAGAACGAAGAGGGCAGTTAGATCGACCTGACGGCGTTTACTTACAAAGTTATGCTTTGAAATCGTAAAGATGTGCTTTGCAGCGTGTTTCATTGCTTTGCAATTGCAAAGTAAATGCTTCGTAGATACAAAGGATCTAATCACTTCGCAGTTCAGCAAAGCATTGCTTTGCAAGAATTCAACAGTGACTTGGAGGGAGCTTCACAAGGGACGGCCCAGGAAGCGTCGCCGACGACAGGCGAGGAAACGCATTTTATTTTCGGGTGCGAAACGACCAAGTTCAGCGAATGCAAGCTGTCAGAGCGCCTGATATGTAGGCAAACATCATGCATGAACTGCATGCGTGTACTGCAGCGTGGCCTATCCGGAGTCCCGCAGGCGTTCCGGACGAGTTCCCGCAATTTACCGAATGAACCCGAGAAAAACTATCATACTTTCTGTAAGATCACTCCGCACACTCTGACATTAGCATGCCCAGAACTGCGCCCGCACTGTGAGTGACCTCCGGACTCAATGACTCAAGCAAGAGGACGTAGGCCAGAAAAAAAGCGTTTCTCATTAGCGTTTCCGTGGCACGTTCATAGTCAAAAAAAAGGGAGGGGGGTATGTAAAAGTACAAAATTACTAAGTCATCCAAACGTTGAAAATAAATTGTGAAAAATAAAATACAAATATTCTGTGTTGGTGAAGTTTCCCAATAAAATTTCCTTTTTGACATTAAAAATTTGCAGTTACGTCCATATCTAGCGCACCTGTTCTGCTGGAAGTAGGTCTGCGGCGGGCGGGGCTGCCTGGTGCGCGGCTCCAGCAGCTCCAGGCTGTCCAGGCTCTGCATCTCCACCTCCGGGGCGACCGCCACTGCAGCGCCGGGCTGCGGCGCCACCGCCTTGGCCGTCCACCCCGTGGACGCCGTGTGCAGCGTGCTGCCAGACGAGTCGGAGTCGTAGTCCGGGGTCGGGCAGTACGGCGCGGGGCTCGGAGTCCTGGTGAGAGACATTGGCACAGGGTCACATAGGCGAAAACACGCGGAAACACGACCTTTCAATTTAGACACTCCCAAAAGTAACGCCCCCCTCCCCTCGCTCTTTTTCCTCTGGCACAAGGCTAGATAGACGGAAAACTTGTATACTGGTTACTGGTTAAGAAAAGCAAGCCAGCCGAGACTAACCTGTGGGTTAACCGTTGCTGCTGAGCCTGCAGCTGCTGGGGCTGAATCGGCCGTAGTCTCACTTGCTGGATGCTGGTGATGCCGTTCGTGGCGGCGGTAGGGGTGGTGTTAGCCGAGGTCGCCGACGACGCGTTGGTGCCGTTCACCTTGGCGACGCCGTTCACCTTAGCGACGCCGTTTACCTTAGCGACGCCGTTCGTGCCGATGCCCGCCGATGAGGCCCCGCCAACACCATTCACCCGGGTGACGCCGTTTGCGGTGATGTTCGTCGACGACGCTGTGCTGGCGCCGTTTACCTTTGCGACGCCGTTGACGACGGGCGTCGTCGTGGCCGTGGCCACCGGGAGCGGCGGTTTCGCGACGACCTTAGGGGTGGTGGCGGGGGCGGGGGGAGTCAGGGTGACGCTTGTGAACGCCGGCGGCGGGGGCACGAGCGACGACGTCACCACCACGGTCGACGGGGACGTCGACATGGCCGCGGGTGAAACTGCGCGCGCTGTCACCGCTGCATCCTCGTCGGGCTGCACGAAGTCATAATCAGATCGTTAGCACGACGTTAACATTTAGAAGAAAAGATTTGGCACATTTTTCATCCAGCTTGCTACATCGGAAACGAAAGTGTGTGAATTTCGCAAACTTGGACAGGTGAGTGAACGCCATTCGAATACTTGGAGGCACAAATTTGTGAATTTTCAAAGGAAACTTTACACTTTTACTCTCTGAAGATCGCGAATGGGCATTCACACACCTACAAGTGTGCGACATCCACCCACTAGCGCATGCTGCTGACCTGCGGCGAGGCGGCGGGCAGCGGTGGCGGCGGGTGGCGGGGCCCGTTGCGCCGGACGAGGCGCGTCACCTCGCGCTCCGCCTCCTGCGAGTCCTGCCGGTCGCGCTCCACGCGCAGCCCGCGCTCCCGGGCCGCGGACAGCGCCAGCCCCACGGACACCTGCGCCGCGTGCTGCTGCTCCAGCTGCTGGCGCCGCTGCATGAACCGCTCGCGCTCCTGGAACACGGAAGGCTCGGGTCATCGTGGGGACAAGAAAAATGCAAGCAAAAGCAAGCAAGAGGGGGCGAGAAGAGGTCATCCGGATCCGGGTGGCCCGGGTGGCCCGGGTGGCCCGGGAGGCGTTGGCTGGGTAGTTCTCCTGTTCCTGGTATAGTTTTAACCACAATGGGGAGGGGCAATTTTTGTACTTAGGTTAGATTTGTCTTTAAACACATCTCTGTCAGATGCAAATTTGTCTGTACGTGGAGATACAAATCGAGGGGGTTTTACCTTGCGTAATACCCGGTACACTTGACCTGGGTATTACACGGTATTACGCACAATGTAATACCGAAAAATATCAAAATATGCTTTAAAATTGTATTTTTTCCATGTAATACCGGCGTAATACCGCGTAATACAGTGTAATACAGAGTACTCTGTACACGTTCTTTTGGAGTAAAACCCCCCTTGGTACAAATTGCACCTAGGCTGGGTACAAATGCTGTATTTTATATGTACGATGGATACAAATTTGTTTCTGTTTTAGATGTTCACAAACACATCTAGGCTTCGTACACAAAAATTGTTCCTCGCCATTTAATGTGCAGGGGACAATCAAGTTGTATGGAACTCATATGAAACTATCCAGCAAAAGGTGCGAAAGGTCAAATTAATTGCCTTTTAAAGGTAGGGGATTCGCACCTTTGTTTTTCCAGTGTAATCTTGCATGAACGTTAATTTGATTCCAAATAGCGGGAAGCCTGTTGTCGAGTTGACTCCGGCCGTCCCAAATACCTCCCCAGCCCAGCCATTGCCCACCCCATCGCCGCCCGCCGCACTCCGCTCGGCCGCAGGCGGCTCCAGTGGCGCCCACAATTTTCCTGTGTACCCGTGCAAACCTCTCTGTGTACCTACCTTTTGGGCGCAAAATGTACCTACATAGCAGAGCCCTATTTTGGGACATTGCCCCCCCCCCCCCCCGCTTTGTTACGTTTCAATTTGACGATAATAATTTTTTTACGCCTTTAAAAATTAAATCCAGGAATCTGTCCGTCATTATAACCTTTTTCCTTTTCAAACATAAATAAGGGAGACTGTGTGAATGCTGGCGCTGACGTATGCGACAGGATATATAAGGGTTAAATGCTCTTTTCTTAAGGGATCATGATAATAGAAAACCGCGAGCGGAGCGAGCGAGATTTTTTTGTCGTATTTTATAACCAAAAGAGCGGTTTTAGAGGATTTATGCAACATTAGGAGACTCTTATGCCCTGTTCCAGCCAGTTCACTTCTGTCATTCATTTTCAGCCTTGGTGGCTCGGGCACCTCCCTATGAGCACTGTGTTTGCCACACTTGTTGACGTCGTTCGGTCTTAAACTTTGGTTTAAACGCGAGCGAAGCGAGCGAGAAATTTTTTCGACATTTCATGACAAAAAGAGCGGTTGTGAGAGGGATTCGCTACCTTTTTTCTACCCTTTTTGGTGCAGTTTCCTTTTCACTCCTATAGTGTCAGCCACACTCTAAACGGGAAATGACAACTGTAGATGTTTCAGGCACAATAGCGGATTCGTACCCACACTGTTAAATTTCTACAAAGCAATAATGTAGTATAGGTATAGACAAATTTCTATCTAATGGAGATGTTCACAAGGAAACATTAACGTAGATGCCATAAATGCTTCTCCCTTTTTAGAGTGCTGGGCGTCTTCTTGTGAACGCCTGATGTAACACTAAGGGCACCTATCGGCGGATGACACATCGGCGCTGCCGGAGGGTGCGCAGGCGGCCAGCGGCAAACGAGAACGATGACGTCCGCCAGTGGCAAATGAATGGCGACTGCCCCTCCTTGCACCCCCATACCCCATACTTATACTCAAAGTCTCTCCTGTTTCTGCCTCTTTTCCTTTTTTCCTCTCCTCTTTTCTCTCCTTCCTCCTCTTTCCCCTTCTCTCCTCTTTTTTCTTCTCCCCTTTCTCTCCCTCTTTCTCCCCTCCCCTTTCTCTCCCTCTCATGTACCTACCTTGTATAGATTTGTACCTGTGCGCGTGCATCGCTTGGACCATAGTTTGGGCGCCACTGGGCGGCTCGATCTAATCGCTGACCGATATCACGTCTCCACCCGCACGGGATACACAGGATGGCCTAACCGAGCCCCGCCCGCCGCAGCCCGGGCCCGGCCGGGCTACAGCGGGTGCGAGGGAGACAGCCTCCGGCGCGGGCCGGCGGCGCCCGTTGCAACACACGCAACGCCGTGCCGCTACCGGATAGCAGCGCGCATACCGCCACGACTGTGGAAACCGAACTCGTGTTGCATTTTTAACGGCGGCGTTGTTGTACGACAACGACCCGGCCGGGCGCGGGTCAGGGCGGCGGCGAACAACGGGAAAGACATGAGTAAACTCCAGCATTCCGCGCCAATAGAGGGAACACAAAACTACAAGGTCTTTTAATCCGTAGTGGTTCAAAAATGTACGCCCAAAACGCACTGTACCACATTTTCCGCGTCGCACCGTCTTGCTGTCTGCATGTTAAGGAGCTGTGGGAGGCAACCGTTGATCCTGTGGTGCGCGTCGGTAGAACAGCTTGCCTACCCCGACGGGCGCCCTGAGCCCCTGCGAACTGTGGGATAGGCAACCGCGGTCTAGTGGCGCACGCGAGTGAAGCAGCCTGCCTACCCCGACGGGCGCTCTGAGCCCCTGCGAACTGTGGGATAGGCAACCGCGGCCTTGTGGCGCACGCGAGTTAGGCAGCCTGCCTACCCCGACGGGCGCTCTGAGCCCCTGCGAACTGCGGGACAGGCAACCTCACGCCCTCTGGTGCGCGCGAGTAGACTTGTCTGCCTACCCTGACAGGCGCTCTGCTCCTCCGCACTCCTCCTTCACGCCCTCTTCTAGCCGCTGTAGTCTGCAGTTGTTTCTCTGCGCTTGGTACTCACGGCGTAGGTCCTGACGGTGACCAGACAGGCGCGCGAGCGCGGCGGCATCATGGTGGCGACGCTACTCCTCATCGTCCGGCTGCTGTTTACAAGGGCGCCAAACCTTGTGAGCCGCGGCGACCAACACGTGTTGCACTTCACCTCGCTCCGACTAGACGCACAGTGGTTGTTGAGTATAAAGGGCCACGATTGCCGTCACACACATATACACATACACACACAGACACACACGCACAGACCCGCACGCACACCAGCACCATTGCGTGCCATAGAAATGGCAAGATAAGACCAGACAGCAGACATGCCGCGAGACATGCACAACTTTTGAAAAGCAGAATATGGATCGTACGAGAAGACCCTGTGCGCCAACCCCCCGCCCCCTCCTCCACATTACCTCGCGCTATAGCGCTGTCAATCGCGAGTGCCGGGCCGAGAAAAAAAGGGGGGAAGGGGGAAGACCCGCGGGGCCCGCAGGCCTTCGGGCAGCCTTCTCTGACCTCCGCTTTCTGACCCGCGTCCATCCTCGTCGCGCGGATTAGAAAGGGGGGGGGGAGAAAAAGGAGGAAGAGCAGAAAAAGACTGCAACAGAGACTAATTGAACTGTCTCACTACCAGCCCTCGTGAGGGCACTGCAGCGCGCCAGAGCAAAGGGCGACAAAAGCGCCGAGCGCCTCCGGCGAAGCCCCTCGCAGGGGTCGTGACAGACGTAAACAGAATAACACACATGAATGCATCTCTACTCTGCAAGAATACCCTCTTAAGGTAAGAGGCAAGGGGGAGATTTTGTTTCTAAGGAGGCAACGATTTTGAGCACAAAATTGTCCCCTAGAGTGTATTTTATAAAATTATTTCGAAACTCGAGACGTCGTTTATTCCCCAATTACGTTTGGGCGTGGCGGAAGCAGGGGTTGCAAGTCGCAGACATGCACAACGAAAGTTATCAAGCATGGAATTCCAACAACGTAGCGTACTTTACTCCTTTTTTTTTTCTACAGCAGGGGCAGAGCGGCATTCTAGGAGTGGGTGAGCACTAGAGCAAGCTAGATTCCTCATCTATTGCGTCTCGATTAGGGTCGGCCGGCCGGCCGGGTGCAAAAAAACAAGAGCGAGTGACTTCTAACGCAGCGGGCCGCCTTCGGCACCGCCGGCACGCACTCGTGCACTGGGGTGGAACCGCACCCGGACGAAAACGGCTCGGAAACGTCTGTTGTGAAAATAATATAATGGTAGCGGGAAAACTTTCCATTTTAAAAATACTGTAAATTTAAATCGACATAGCCTAGTTTTAATAAACTGGCGAGAATTGTCTCAAATTTACGAAATTGCATAGTATACAGATAATATATTAAAAACAAAATGCTCCATTTCGCAAAGGTACTTCTACAGTGGCGGCACATAAAAAAATATTGAGTTAAGTGAGATACAACATTCATGAAAAAGGAATGTGAAATTGTCCTATGATTAAACGATTCTGCGAAGAGTCTTCTTGACTGATCAGTAGTTATGCATATCCTTGAATTTCATAAAGGTGAAACGTTAACTTGTGAGCACTTCCCTAGGAACCCGTTTTTAAAAATGAAAAATATTTTTTTGCGCGAACCACCTACGTTGAGACGACCTCTTTATTTTTCGGTCAGGTTAAGTTTAACAGTGCATGAATTGGCTACGCGAAATGCGTGCGCTCAGGTACACGCACTCTCACTCACACTCACGGATTCCCCGATATCTTTCAAGCACGCACTCACAAGGCGCGTGAGCAGGCACATTCACACAGGCAGCAGAACCATACCGGGTCGCAAGCGTGCCCCATGTCAGCAGGCGAAACTCTGAACCCACCAAGATGAACAGTGAACAGATGAACAGACGGGCGCAAATAGGCGGGCAAGTTCGAATACCGACTAAACATCGTCACCAAAACGTGCAAATCTGTCTCGCGCTGGTAGAGGTAGCTAGCTAGGGCAGGGCATCGCATGAGAATTTCAAAATTTGTTCATGAGCGTTCAAGACAAGAATCGCTCAACAACTAGGGCAGCAGGCATTGCATAACAATGCAGAAGTACGCGGCTTTGCACAAGTAGA